GAGGAAGGTCATGATGCAACCTCAGCCTCTTACACCAGCCCTTGTAGCTGTTAAACCCAAATCAGGGGGTGATTTAGAAAGGGACAGGAAGAAGGAAGATAAAAGGGATGTGGTATGTGAGCATTGTAAGAAACCCAAACACACAAAAGAAACATGTTGGAAGTTGCATCCTCATTTGGTCCCGGCAAAGTTGAGAAGCAAGAAGGGTAATGCTCATGTGGCTGTGACTACTGATTCAGCATCCTCGTCTGGCACAAGAGGCACACCCTTAGAGACCTTAGCTGCAGTTCGAGCTGCTCTAATATAGTTGGAAAAGGAAGTTGGGAACTCAGCTCAGCCACCGCAGTCACCATCAGCCCCTGCCACATCTGCTTTCGCACATTCAGGTACTCGAGCCTCAACCTACCATGCCTCAGCTCCAGGTATTACTAAACCCTGTTGGGCAATAGATTCAGGTTTATCTGACCATATGACTAGCTTGCTTTCATTGTTTACCACTTATCATTTATCTTCTGGTAGGGATAAAGTATCTATTGTTGATGGCTCTCTTGTCCCTATTTCTGGCAAGGGTGACATCAAGCTCTCGGATACTATCTCCTTGTCTTCTGTCTTACATGTTCCTAAGCTTGATACTAACCTTCTTTCAGTTAGTAGTATTACCAAACATATGAACTGCTCAGTAACTTTCTTCCCTGACCGATGTGTTTTTCAAGACCTGGAGACAAAGAAGGTAATTGGGACTGGCCGTGAGATGAATGGGATCTATTTGCTCGGGGAGAGCTCTTGTCAGGAAGAGTCAGTGGATAAGAAGTCACTTGTTTCTCAGATTGTGAGTCCGGTTATGCTTTGGTATAACCGATTGGGTCATTTGTCTTTTCGATCCTTAAAGAGTTTGTTTCCTACTTTGTTTGAGTCTGTTAAGTTGTCCTAGTTGAAATGTGAAAGTTGTGAGTTGGCTAAACATTGTAGAAACTCTTATTCATTGAGTAATAAAAGGAGTAATMGTYCTTTTGRTMTTGTGYATAYKGATGTTTGGGGGCCATATCACATCCCTTCTATGGGTGGGTACAGATATTTTTTGTTATTTGTTGATGACCA